AGTTAATACCAATTTGATGCTGAGCACATGTGGTGCTTGTCTTTCCATTCTTGGGATACTTGGCTTAGTAGAATGCATTCCCACTCTTTCCAGGAGAACACAAGAGATGCTATATCACCATTGTTTCTTAAAGCTGAATAGTACTCCATGGAATACATATACCACATTTTATTAATCCACTCATGCATTGATGGACACTTGGGTTGTTTCCACATCTTTGCAATTGTGAATTGTGCTGCTAAAACAGGTCATGATATTTTAAAGATGAAATTCTAAAAAGAGAAGCATAGAGGAGCTGTGCAATGTGTGGAAGACCAAGCACACACCTGGGGAGAGGTACCTGCGGTATCCTGTGCTCCCCAAATTAGACCCTACTGCTGCCCTGAACCAACTCCAGGATCAGTGTGAACATGCTTCAGAGGGTTTGCAAAATCCCCTTTAGGTAATGAGAACATGATGCCATTTTGCTGCATTCCAGTGTTACAATGTCAAGGTTGCATCACACTTTGGGCCTCAGAATCCACACTGCCCGTGACACTGTTGTGCATTAGCTGTGACATGAGCCTCACTCAGCTGAGGGGATTCAGGTCTCACAGATTGTCCAATGCAACTGCTGCTTCCTCTGCTTTGGGCCCAGGGCACAAGAGTGTGGCCAAGCAGGAATCCACTGAAGTTCGTCCTTACATTTCCCTCTTGCCAGGCAGGTCCACACGGGCCCAGGTTCAGTCAATGGGGCTGTCAAATGCTTGGCACAGTAGCCAGCCCTAATCTCTGTGGAAGTCACAATGTCAGTGTGAGTGGTCAGGGCCACTGTCCACTGCTGCAGGTGGCCCTGTGGTCATACTGGACATTCACTAGTGTCCCCTCCCACCTCCACTGTGGATCCTTCCAACACATGCGCACCACTTTGCAATGAAGCTTGCTGTGTGTTGTTTCCTGATGGAATGACTCAGGCCTGAGCACTGCAGAGCCATTGTGCTTGGTCCTTGGCCATGCTCAGGAATGTGGTTTTGCAATTGTCCTCCCCAGTGGTGAGTGCAGTGGAAAAACCCACAGACACTGCCTAGGCCTGAGGGACTGCCCCTGCCTCCGTGGATACACACAAGCTCAGCCTCAAAGCAAAGTTAATGCGTATCAGTGGGAGAGTGCTTTTCACTGTTGACTGGTCCACAGTCATGAAGACCCCAATTGAGGAGCATCAGACCAGGTCTCACATTCAGGGGAGCACACTGTGCCCCCAGTAGGCATTATCCTCCCTGGGAACCAGGACATCTAACCAATCTCTGCCTAACATTGTGGCAGTAAGAAGAAAGATTTCACAAGTTGTCACCACGGTGTGTTGATAGGAATTAATCTCACCTCTAGCCCTGACTGTAGACCCAGGTGCCACAGCACTCTGTAGTGCCAGCACATGCTGCATTCTTTGTGACCAAGGAATCCCTGCAAGGGACCTTGGTGTAGGTTAATCAAGACCCATATGTCAATTTTTGACATTGCTGTGATTACCACTGTGGTCTCAAGAAACTCTTGTCATGAGCTTATTGGAAAAATAGGCCAAGAGACAGAAAAGCTTTCAGGAGTTTTGCAGGTCTTTGCCTTGAAATAATCTGTGGACGTGTTAGCTCACAGAATAGAAGTTGCTTCGATCAAAGTCAGGCATTGTCAGAGGATGTTTGCACAGCAAAATTCCTCTTTGCTGCCAGCCATAGCCCCGAGCTTTTTTGTAAGGCAGAATCTTGGTTAGGGTATGTGGTCGAGAAGCTGATTAACATGCCTGCACAGCAGATAATGTGCAGCTGGAACTATCCTAGACTTTGAGGCTATTCCTGCTTCACTCCTGACTACATGTCTCTGTGTTTAAAAGAAGTAGATTAGAGTAGTACACAGACTCAGTGTTCTCATTTTATACATTTTGTCTGTAATTTATATGCTCAGCTACGTCTGCCTCTAACTTGGGCCTTACAATGCTTATCTTAGAAAAATTTGTAACCGTCAATTCTTTTAGACAGAATTAGGTAAGGATCCCCTGGAAACCTCAAATAATGGGCTGTACACATCATTCTTTAACAAAAGACAACATTTGCTTTAACAGTAAGTACTGATGTGGGATTTCACTCAGGCCCCCTCAGCCCACGGGAATGCTGGAGGACCCCTGATTCCCTCATCACTTTAACCTACAGTTTGTCTCTGTCTCAATTATTTCTCCATCTATATTATTTCTCTATTACTATTATTTCCAAATCTATTGCGATGATCCTGCCTTGGGACCTGTTTTGCTGGGAGCGTGGCTACCTCCTGGTATAAGCTTACATGTAGAAGAGCTTTTCCAATATTTCCTTCTATACATCTTCTGCTCACCACTCACAAAAAATAATTCATGGCAGATAACAGACTTAAATCACACCATAATTTACCTCCCACAGCCAGTACGACAGAGAATCTCACAGAGGACTATTCCCCAGTCCCCTGTTAGAGGACCTGATGCAGTGACTGGATGGAAGCCTGTGTGGGAGGTGGGCCCTGCCTGTGTGCACCACGGAGTGTCCATGATTACGCCCCTGTTCAGACTTGGAAACCTGTGGAACATTTCTTGTTTAATCTGAAGTGGTGACGTGACATTTGGGAGCGTGTTAGCAGGTAATAAAAATCACCGTCATGATTTTTTCTCCCTGCAGGCAGCACCTGTCACCAGCATGTGGATTATTTATGAGTGTGTCATCTGGCCTTGGCGAGAAGACCCGTGCATTGCATCTCAGTGTCTTTAGAGTGCTCTCCCTGTGGAATTTCCCTGACAGTCACGTGCATGGAATTAGCCAGTGGACGACAGTCATCCTCGGCAGCCAGTGACTCCAGCACTGCCCAAATGGTCCTTGAATTAAGTGACTACAGTGGCACGGCTGGATGACTTGCATCTCCCAACTTCATGTACTTTCACCCACCAAGGCATGCTGAGGCCCTCCCTCTGCCTAATTGAAGTCTGTGGGCAAAATATACCAGCGGTAACCTTAACAGGGCTCCTTAACTGAGGCAAAGATCATGTGATATCAAATTCACTGAGACCTTTGACTCTGGGAGGTACAGCAACTCACCTTGACTGGATCCAGCCCGGGTGTGTGTTTTTCCAAACCCAAGGCCTCACTCAGGACCACTAGCCGTGTGATTACCGGGCATGCAATTCAATTAATGGTGTCAGCCTGATATTTCCTGGGGCCAAGGGCTCCACCTCACAGTAAAAGACACTAAACATGGGGTTTACTGGCAGGTGCTGGCCTGACTGAGAGGTTCACCTGCGTCAGGAATTTGGTATGGCAGGTATGTGGCCACCACGTCCAGTGCAAGGGGGCTTCCTGCATGAATGTGCACAGTTCCCTGTACTGTGGGGAAGGGATGCAATCTAGCAGGATGCAGATGTACCTGAATCTGTGGACCTTTCATGGTAATGAATAGGAGCAGGAGTAGGAGCAGCACCAGCCCCTAACTTTACCTGGCATCACTCCAAGTGGCCCATCTCAGGAACACGTGGTGCTGCCCAACACATATAAGCTTCTCATGCAATAGGTTAGCAGGGCAGGAAACAGTCACCGTCTTGGCAAGGGCAGTGCCTTTAGGATTACTTGTGGCTATGTTTACACAACGAGTAAGGGAGGAATATATTTAGATTCCAGTAATTCCAGTGGAGTATTCTTTGGAAATCCCAGGTCTTGACAATATGTACACAGATGCAAGTTAAATGCATAATTGACTTGATGATAATTAAACTCATTAGGATATGACCTCTGCCGTTGCAATGTTGGAATCCCCACACGCTCAGTGCAGTGACCGTGCACCAGGCTATCAGAGACAAAACCACAATGGCCCCTACGTCTGTCTATCGCCACCTCATTGCCAAATTATAAGGAGCTGCCATCATCCGTCTTTTCCAAACAGATTCCGAATCTTATTTCAAAATAGATGTCACTTCTGCACGTCTACGTGAGCTTTTCCTCACCTGGCCCACATCAACTTCATAGCACATCACGCCATTATCACAAGATTCTGGGGAGGCAGAGACATGACATCACACCATGGCCTTTGCTCCCACACATAAATGCCACCATCCCATAGCCAAGAGATGCTGGAATGTGTGTGCAGTGGGGGAGAGTCCATGGGTGGATGCTCCCATCTTCCCCACGTAGGTGAGCATGACGGTCTGAGGACAAAATATATACCTGGAGAAAGTGAGCAGCAGTTGCAGGTCTTGTAAGGTGGATTTAGTGTAAACACTGATACTGGTGCTGTCCCCCTACTACGCTGACTTTCTTATCTTAAAAAAAAGAACTGAAATATTCACAACATCCTCTCTGTCACTGAACATTGAAGATGCCCCGAATCCATGAGAGAGCAGCTGGAGCTGCTCGAGAGGTCTGTATGT